GCTGTAACTTGTGCTGCAGTTTTCGCCTGGTTTTCCAGTGCTCGCAATAGAGTAGGTCGAATCTTTACAGTCAGTTGCAACACGTTTATCGAATCACTGATCGATCAAATCATCGATAGCTTGTTTTATGATAATAATGATTTCGACGATTGGTCTGATGACGTCTGAGAAATACAGCAGGAAGATTTAGTCATCATCTATCAGCACTCAGAAGCAATGTGCAGCAACTTTGGTTTCTGCAGTCTGAATCTTCCATTTTGCAGTCTACAGAAAATTAGAAATGGTCTAAATGACAACTCGTTATACTCAAAGAAGATTGTAAATTAGTGATCATGGCTGTGTAAAGCATAGTTAATACAGAGAGAAGGATTAGGCAAGCATCTATACATGTACATATGTATATATATGTATGTGTGTGTGTGTGATCAACTCATCTTTGTCCGGAGGGATCATGGTTCATTAATCATATTATCTATGATTAACTGATAGGATCCAGGACTTTAATAAGGTTAAGCTGTAAGAATTCAACAAGTCTGTAGTCAGTCTGAAGAGCTTCTTGATTATCTCTTATTTGGCTGAAGAGCTCAAGGAGTTGAAGCCTTGAAGGTTCCTATTTCCAACAGTATTTGGTCAATTTCCATGTGTGATGCAGAAAAACAAGATGCTTGATAGAACCTTTGGTTATACTAATTGGCAAATCATGATTGGCAAATACAACTTCTTGGTAATTTGCACTAGAGATGGTTTTGATGTTTTTGCACTGAGAATGTGAATGAAATTCTTACTAAATCTATTGTTTCCATAGATATGCAATCAATTTCAGGTACATATATTGACTAAATCAGTGAATTGAAAAGGGTTATGAAGCATAAAAAACATGATAAAATTTCGGCTAAAAATAGATCATTATGTCTTTAACATGACTTTTTTGACAAATGTAACATTGGCTGGATAAAAATCCTCAAGTTTCTTTGGAAAGTATATACTATAAGGATTAATCTTCTATACACTGACAGTATATATACTTTCATTATTAAATGTATGACACATAATTCAAATTTAAATTTAAAACTCAAATTTTGCATGTGTATCGTTTATCCAACCGTGATTGTGTATACACCGCCAGTGTATATAAGATTTATTTATACTATAAACGTGTAACATTTTCAAGAAAAATATGAAAACGTGGGGGGAAGTAAGAAAGAAGTTGCCAAACAAAAAGCCTGTAATATTAATTATTGAAGTAAGAAAAATTCCACCTTTTTTGTTCGTTTCCCTGCAACAATCAGCAATCAGGTCAAATATAATCATTGAGGGGGAAAGAAAATCGTTTACAAAATTCATAGGTAATTTGTGAATTGTGATTGATATTTCGATACAATAGTAAGAAAATGACAAGATTATCTCTCTCCAGTCAATTTGTGAATTGTGATGGTAGTTGATTTGACTTGTTTTATGGCAGTTTTGCTATCATATTAGTAGTAAAATTTATGGTGACAATAATAAAACTTGAGATTTGATAATAATGCGAGCCTATATAAATTATAACTGTCTCGCGCGCAATTAAAACAAAAACATTATAATTTTACACAACAACAAGTCAAGTGAAAAACAAGTTCACTTTCTTCTTTGCTTTTTGTTCAAATTAAGTAGAAAACAAATTTGGAATTGGATTTAATATAGTAAAATTGAATAACAAAATTTTGCATTTTTTCCATTATGGAATTTAGTAAAAATCAAGAACCCGTTTGAATTGCTATTTTTGTGAGTTTTTTTTTGTAAGAAAATGTACTATAGTGATTTGATTAACGTGAGATAAAAATGACAATTATAAAATGTATTCATAAAAAATATAAAAATTTTTCTACGAAAAACTCTAATCTAAAGAAGGGCCAAGTTTAGATGGTAATTTAGCAACTTGTCTTTAGGCACTGTTTGCATTGATGGAATGGGAGGGAAAAGAAAGTAGAGGTATTGGAAGGATTTGGTTTTTATTATTTGGATTTTTTTTTGAGAAAGGAAAGGAAAGAATAGGGAGGAAATGGGTCGAGTTATTTTATTGAGTTATAACTTCCATCCAAAAATAGGTAGAAAGGGAAATGAAACTAAATCAATTGAAATAACTTAAAATTTTTTTAAAAGATCACTTTTTCCTTTCCTTTCAATAATTAACACTTGATATTTACAACCTTCTTCGTTAATTGAAATACTAGTACTACTCATAGTTAATTACTGCTAAATATAATGGAGAACCACTTTGTATAATACCACTGGGGGATAAAATGCAAAACAATATTTTATTATTGTTTTATACCCTTCTCCCCTCCTCTTGTTCCCCACACTACCCAGACCAGTTGTCCAGGTTCGCTCTTTGACCAACCAGCAGATGGGATGCAAAAGAACATGGAGCTAAGTAAATATTATAATTTTAACTGATCTTGAAAGATATAATCAATCTTACGAGAAGATGTTTTATCTTTGTATTATTGCATGACTTCTTTATAGTTTTGAAATAACCATCTGTATAATACGCTCATAGTTTCAACTTTCATGTACAGTGAAAATGGATAGAATTGAAGACAGAGTGGTTTGTGCATCACCATGACCACCGTGTCCTCGATCATCGCCAACTCCTGCCTCTTCATTGCCCCGGTGACCACCATAACTTCTACATATTTTTTCCGAAGTCCCACCTCTGATTCCCCACTTAAACCCATTCTTTTTTTTTTTAAAACCATTTTTTTTCCTTTTCTTTCTTGAACTTCTACCAAATTTGCTGCCGCCCCAAATTCTAACCTGAGTTGGAACCCGGCAATTGATCTTCATATTCTTGATGTTTGTTTGCATTTCGGCGATATAGTGAGCAAGCCTACCTATGATCTATACTTCAATGCGAACACTTGTGGATTTTCCTCCATGAACGGGGTAGCTACCTGTCTCAGTTGCTCCCACTACTAATCACTTAATTATATTCAGATTTATAATCGATCCTACAACTTATGCGGAATCAATTATTGGCTTCTGGGATGATGTGTATTCACTGTTCAGCACTTTCAACAGGGGCTTGATTAGCCATATGGTTGTGTCTTTAGCAGAATATGATTATAAATGATACTAAAATGATTACCAATATCCAAAATTTATCCCCTTTTTGTTTCATTTTTCGTCGGCTGGATGTCGACAAAAATGTTCTATGTCATTTTCTTTAGATCATATTACTTCATTGGTCAGCAAAATATTTTTATAAATAGTCTAAAAGGGTAAATTTATCTGAAAAATGGCAAAGCACACCTGGGTAGGTGGGATACCTTCTTGACCATTTAGTATTGTCCAAGCATGTGGCCCTTCTGACATCACAGCATATAAAAAAATCCGCAAAAGCCAAGAAAATTCAGCTGTATCCTGTAGGGCGATTGATATCCTTTACTTTAATTAGGGAGAGTACTCGTTATACGGCTATTTTAATTCACATTCAACGATTTTGACTTCTACTTCATGATTGCTTGGGTTGATGAAGTATTGCCTTACTGTGTAGTACTATTTACATAATCACTGATCTGAGGCCTATACTTTAGATCAGAAAAAGGTAGTAAAATTATTTATCTAGCTGAAAAAGATGATGAGTGTTCATTGGCTATGGTCTTGGCTGCAGTTTGCTACTTCCTTCAAGATTTGTTTTTGACGAAGAAGAGAAAAGGATTGCCTCCAGGTCCAAAAGGGCTTCCGGTTATAGGAAATCTGCATCTGTTAGGCAAGAATCCTCACCAAGATTTGGAGAAATTGGCCAGAAAACATGGCCCTATAATGTACATGCGTTTTGGTTATGTCCCGCGATCATTGTCTCATCTCCTGAAGCAGCTGAAAAGTTTCTCAAGACTAACGATCAAGTTTTTGCCAGTAGACCTTATCATGAAGCATCTTGGTACATCGCGTATGAGCAGAGAAACTTGACTTTCGGCCAATATGGTCCTTATTGGCGAAACATGCGTAAGCTTTGCGTTTTACAGCTGCTCAGTAGCCACAAGATCAATTCATTTCTGCCAATGAGAGGAGAAGAGGTGGGAAAATTGGTCAAATCACTAAAACTGGCTGCTTCAGACGGTGCTTCTGTGGATCTTAGTGCAGCGATTTCATCCTTAGGTGCAAATATGAGTTGCTTGATGATATTTGGAAAGAAGTATATGGACAAGGATTTTGATGATCGGGGGTTTAGAGAGGTCATTCAAGAATCATTGCGTGTTGCAGCGCTGCCTAACCTCGGTGATTATTTTCCCCTGCTTGGTGTGCTTGATCTTCAGGGACTTACTCGTCGATTCAAGGCTCTGGCTAAGGTGTTTGATAACTTTTTTGATAAAATCATTGATGAGCATCTTGAATCCAAGGAGCACAAGCAAACCAAGGACTTCGTAGACATCATGATGGGAATTATTCAATCCGGAACATCTGAATTCGATTTTGATCGCCGTCATGTCAAAGCTATCTTGTTGGTAAGTTTGGTAGCTTTATATTCTTATTTGCTATTTTGTTGGTAAGTCTGAAGAAATGACTATTGTAGTGTTTTTCTAATGCAATGCAAAGCAAATTGAGGGCATTTACTAAGATCCAATTCTATTCATTCTCTTTCTTTTTCTTCCAGTACAGTTGAGAAAGGGATTGTTCAAATGCTATATCAAATAAATCAGTGCTTGTGATAAATGAAGCCAAATTTGGCACAATTCTTACTCTTTCATGTATCTAACTCGACAATACAGGATATGCTTCTCGCCTCAATGGACAGTTCTGCGACAGCAGTTGAATGGCCATGTCAGAACTCCTCAGGCATCCTGAGGCTAATATATATAATTGATATGTATGAAGCTTGATAAGGCTCGCTAGTAGCTCGAGCTCGACTTGATTTCTTAATCAAGCTACTTGAACTCGAGCTCATGCTCGAGCTCAATTTTTATCGAGTAAAGTATTCTTTGAGCTGAGTACCAACGTACTCGCGAGTAGCACCCCTAATGATAATCCCTGTTAGTTATTGTGTAGCAATTTTTTCTTAAGCATGGAGGGGAAAAGCTAATTATTTGTTGTTTATTTTTGTTGTGCTGATGGTAACCTTGTTAATCATCATTTTTAGGATGCAAATTGTGGCAACACCCTTTTAATCTCTCTTGATGAACTTGTGGAAGATGGTCTTTTGTCGAAGGATGAGCTTCCTAAACCACTGTGAGGATTCTTACAGTATTGTTCTGGTCATCTTGATTTATTTCTCAAAGGTTGGAATTTCCCCTCTTTTTCTTTGTTCATGCAGAGATATCGACCATGTGAATTTCTCAACTGTTGCTAAGATAAAGGATCCATTGATAGAAAAGGTAAAAGTTCCCACATCTTTTCTGCTAGATTCCATGGTTTGGCATGAGTTATTGGCTCTTGAGTGACTTTAAGGGTATGTTTATGAAACCTAAATTGAACATTACTGTTGAAAATGGAGGAAATGTTTGGGCTTACTTTATATTCCTTTTTCAAAGAAGGCCTCAGGTTTGCACTTTGATGGGGCCTAACTTTTTCTTACTCAAAATATGGTGTAAAGCCATTTGATGGCTGTGTACTTGCTCAAACGATTACTACAGAGCTTGGTTTGTCTTCTCTATCTGGCAGCTAGAGTTGATTCAGAAAAAGAATTCAGGAAACAAAATAACTAAGAAAATGGAAACCTAAATGGTATGTATCCCCCTTAAAGTGAGTTGTATTCCATTTTAACATCAAATAACTTTCAGAAGATGAGGCTGAATCTAGAAATAGTGCTGTGCAGTTGTGTATAGACTGAAAGATTATTTAGGCGTTTATCCCTGGTGCTCTGCCTTTTATGGTTCTTCAGGACAAGAAACTTTTATTCACAAGTAGCAAGGTCTTATGGACCATGAAAACCAATCGCTATTTGGTAATGCAAATTATGCTTATGGATCACAATTGAAACCCAGAATTAGTAAGTAAAGTTCAGTTCCAGCACTGTGCAATTTTGCATTTAACTCTTCTTTGTACTATACTAATTCTGAACCAATCTGATAATTTCAGTCTTTGTTCTCATATACCCTTTTTTTACTTGCTTTCTGATTAGGCGAGCAGTATATGCCCTTCTCTAGCCTGGCTAAAGCAGCAAACTCTAGAGCTAGGGCTTTGTTCACCTTTGGACACGAACATTATTCCGTTCTCAGCGGAAACCCACCTTACAAATTGAACGGCAATAAGATAAGCTGACCTTCAATCTAAGACAGCGCTGAGTGCTGATAGCTTGTAGTGAAAAGCCCCCTTATGAAACCAGTTGAAAGCAGCCTTTGGTACTTAAGTAGTTAAGGTTTGGAAACCCCCCCCCCCTCTCCCCCAAGCGGCTAGAAAGCTGTAACTAAAGGACTTTCAGTTTGAATAGGATAGCATAAAGTGTATTTGTACGAATGGAAACACTCTGTCAAAAGAAGCTCATGCTAACCTGCTTCAACTTTATTCTCTAACTTTTTGGCATGTTGAACTAATTGTACTTGGTTAAAAGTTATATGAAGCACGGGAAAACAAAGTCAAAAGAAAATGGATACAGATAGGAGACGCACAAGAAACCATGCTAAGCAGTTTTTGGGTTCTGTGTTCTTTCAGATTCTTAGTGTAAAACTTTTTCTGTATTTGTTTTATGCTAAACCTTGGCTCATGGAACAATTGGCAACTTTAAGGTGCAACAAATGTTTTTGTGCTATATTTTTCTACTGACTCATTTTTTTCCTTATGTGTCTGTGTATTTTCGCTGTGCGATTTGTTTATCATTTATACATTCCGCAAACCAGAACTATATTTTACTTACATGGGGACTCTTCTCCACATATGTACTTAGGCTGCAAAGAGGCTTATTTTGAGTGGTGGTGAGCTCAAAAGTCAGCTTGAGCGTTTTCGGAAGGATCAAGATGTTGCAAGTAAGTGGCATATCCCTTTGTGAATCATTTTTGTATCAAGCTGAGAAGCAACTTTGTGATATCTCTGATGCTCTTACTCTAGTTTGCACTCTAGTTTAGACTTTTGTTGGCAATGGTAGTGACAAGTACTAGTTATGGAAGACAGTGGGGATTATGATTTCCCCTTTCCTAATGCAGTACATCTGCCAGGCTTCTGGTCAGGATGACATTGATTTTAAGGACTTCGAGGTATAACTTTTCTTTTCCTTGTGTCCCCGTACAAGACAAACCCATAGGTATGTTTTGGTTTGGTCAGTTGTGTAGTGTTTTATTTAGTTGATTGGTGGAACTTATTTTTGTAGTGGTGCTTTATACACTGAAACAAAATGGTTGAATGTGTCATAATTTTAACATGTTGCCTGACCTTAAGCACAGAGAGTTTCCTATTCTGCATTATCTAAGCCAATCAATGCTGTAAGTTTTCGGTCTTAGCTGCTTTTGCCTTAGGACATTTTGGAATGTTCCTTCAGTTTACTTTATCTATTCATGAGATACAATTTTGCAACGAGAGAGACGCTCCTTATATTCCATTTGGACATGCAAATACCAATATTAGCCGTACACTTAACAAGCAGTTATGCAATACTCGCAGGCTTTTGGTAATTATGGTCCTCACTTAACAGGTTGGCTTGAAGATGCTGCATATTTTGCTGCTATTGATGATTCTTTAAATACTTTTAGCTGGTATGATTGGCCTGAACCACTGAAAAATCGCCATCTTGCAGCATTGGAAGAGATTTATCAAACTAGGAAGGATTTTGTATGGTCCATCTTAACTTTCCAGTGCTTTCCTGCCTTATGCTTCTTTTAGTTGTCAAGACTTGATTCTCAACTACCTTGTGACGATTAATATTCACTTTCTTGCACAGATTGACATATTTGTCGCTCAACAGTTTTTATTCCAGAGGCAGTGGCAAAAAATTCATGATTATGCTCACAAGAAAGGAATTAGTATAATGGGAGACATGCCAATTTATGTTGGTTATCATAGTGCAGATGTTTGGGCAAATAAGAAACAGTTTTTGCTGGTTAGTCATTATTTGATAAAATATTTTGATCTTCGAAATTATTTTGACAAGGTTCTAAAGGCTATTCAACTTCCTCTAACTTCCTATACATGCTATGACAGAATAGGAGTGGTTTTCCTGTCCTAGTAAGTGGTGTTCCACCTGATGCTTTTAGTGAAACCGGTCAACTTTGGGAGAGGTACTATTGATTCCATAACTAGTGTGCAAGGATGTAAAGATATCTGCCTTTCATATTAATGCTTTTCAGGGAGTATAATGTTATTATGGATTATATTTGAACACTAAGACCATGCTTACCAATAATTTTCAATAACTCATTCATCTAAGATTGATCATTTACTATTTGCTTAATTATTCTACTCCTACATTAGTCAAGTGATCATCATTCTCGAACATTTTCAAGTGCTTTAGTGTTTGGTATTTATCAGAAATAAGTATTTAGCATTTGCAGCTGGCTAGTCGCGAATGTAATGCTTGTCAGAGATGCACATGCAGATTTAGCAGTGCATCTGTGATTCTTGCTTCAGACTCGTGTAAAAGCTTCTACACCGTTTGATAGTAAGGTTAATTTTAAAAAAGGCCCTTAGTATCTATTGTTCTTCTATGGATGGAAGTAATAATGATGAAAAGTGTGAAAGAAAAATATTTTGGTGACACCGCTAAAAAAAATGATAGTATCCAGCTATGGTTTGTTTGCAGTCTGTGCTGTAGGGGATGATTCTTATAGAAGGTTTTGGTGGCCTTTCCTTTGAAGTTCTTTACCAATTAGTGCACGTAAAATTTAGATACTTTTGCTGAAGGAATTTAGTCTTACCATACACCTTTTACTTGATTTAGATGTGGAAACATATATCCACTGATTGCAGTGAGAAACATGTTAGAATGCCTTAGTTTTCTTGGATCTGAAATGCGTTGCTATTTTAAATACCATGGAGGGACCTTGTTGTATGATGAGAGAGTGCTTTACTGCTTATATGCTTAGCCAGTGTGTTTTGGCAGGTTCTTGAAGAGAGAGAAATTAGTTTACCTGTTTTAGAATTTAGCCTTATGAAACAATAAGATCTGCACCTATTGAAGTTATAAAGCAATAGAGGTAGTTCCCTTCTCTTAGTGGTTTTGGTGGTGGTTCTACTCTAAATCTCTCTTTGACATTCTTTGTTGATTTTGGACTATCTTTAATTGACAAAATATAAACATTAGGCGGTAGCTTTCATTCAAATATGGCTTGAGAGCATGTATAGAATTTGGAGAAAACAAATGATCTCTAGTCTTGTAGATCATATATTTGACTTGATTATTAACTATGAGCTCTCTCTGTAAAGCCCCCTATATGATTGGAAAGCCATGGAGAAGGATGGATTTTCTTGGTGGATACGCCGCATTAGACGGGCTCAAAATCTGTTTGATGAATTTCGGATTGATCACTTTAGAGGATTTGCTGGCTTTTGGGCTGTTCCTTCTGGTGAGGCCATTTTCAGTTTGCTGAATTTCTGGATTGTCTGAATATCTTATTGAACTACCAATATTTTGTGTCATGCCACTTATGCAGAAGCAAAAGTTGCAATGGTAGGAAGATGGAAGGTCAGATCTTTTTATCAGTATTTTTGGTTTTACATTTTCTTAACTATTAAAAGTAGTCACTGTGATTGTTTTTTAATTGCTGGTAGGTAGGACCTGGAAAACCTTTGTTTGATGCCATATTCAGAGCTGTTGGAAAGATCAATATTATAGCAGAAGACTTGGTATGTATGGGAAAAAAATTGGTTCTTCGGACATGTCCCTTTCAATTTTAGCTGCAACCATAGTCAGAATTTTGATTATTACTTACAAGGTTGTGGTGTCATTGACATTGTATGCAATCAGCACGCATTGGTGAGGAGAATTTATATCTGAGAGCTGGATGGAAGTTTATGCTGCACACCATTCATCTTTAGCCTTTTTGTTTTCTATATAGTGCTCAAGTCTTATGCTTTCGTTATAAGGAGATCTGAGTTGACATGACTCGTGCCTATTGCCTTGACTACATGAATGGGTTACTATAGCTAATTATCGTCCTTGGTTTGCACTGCTTCATTTGCTTTATAATTTCTTGGCTAAGAGTGTTCTCAGTTATGTTTCAAGACTATGGCTTTAATTTCTCTGCATCTTGTATGTTTTGCTTCTTAATCCTGTAAATGAACCTCATCCTACTTATAATTTTCCTGAAGCTTATACTTGCCAAAACTAACCCTTTAAAGGCAAAATGACAGGGAGTGATAACTGATGATGTGGTTCAGCTAAGAAAATCAATAGATGCACCAGGAATGGCTGTGCTTCAGTTTGGTATTCAGTCAATTTTCACTTTCTCTTGTTGTACTCATAGTGAACGTCAATGGCTCTGAAAAACATTTTCTCTTGGTTCCTGTGTAGGGTTTGGAAGTGATGCAAAGAACCCTCATCTGCCTCACAAGCATGAGCACAATCAAGTTGTGTACACTGGAACTCATGATAATGACACTGTAATATCTCTATCTTTGTCTACGAAGTTGTAACTAATGATTTTCTTATTAAATCAATTTATTTTTTCTTCATGAGGATCATATCAGGAGAGGATATGAGCCGTGCTGTTCAAATCGAAGGCAAAGACCCTTTACAGGATTAATTAATAAAACGAATCACAATTTTGCCACCAAAATATAGCCAGTAAAATGCAATGGTTGTACAAAGCTGGACCACCTTTTGTCAAGTCAGAAAAATAATCAAGATAGTGTGTCTTCTGTCAGTAGAAGATTTATTCCTCTCACTTCTTTCAGTTTACTACTCTTGTGGGAAAAATGTTTTGAAAATGTGCCAAAATGCTTTCCTTTCTTATTTATATGGTACAGTACTTGTTTATAGTTTCAAGACCAGCCCTTTCATAATTGCTAAGCAGTTCAGACCAAAAGCAGCCTCTGACAGTTTATTATGTGTTTCAGATCCGAGGATGGTGGGATGTATTGCCGCAGTGGGAGAGAGACAATGTGAGTGTAGAATTTCTACAATGTTTAATTTCTGAAAAATTTTAGCTACACTTGAATGTGTATCCTGTCAATTCCCAATCCCCAGAAAAAAAAAAAAGAGAGAGGAAAGGATGCTTGTGAACTATTATATGGTACTTTTTCCCGAAAAGAATATGATTCCTTCTAGGATGCATTCCTGTTATTATATTTGGAAAAATTCCTGTTATTATATTTGGAAAATTGGCGATACAGGTTATAAAGTATCTTGGAAGTATTGACCAAAATGAAATTTCATGGGCACTGATCCGGGCTGCGCTTTCTTCGGTCGCTCGGACTGCAATAATACCAATGCAGGACATCCTTGGATTGGGAAGTTCAGCTAGGATGAATATCCCGGCAACTCAGGTAAAGATTAAGCTGCAAATAGATGAATGGAATAATTATTTGGCTCTGTATCCTTGTGGAATAACTATTATGCTGAAAATCCTCATTATGCATCTTCCATTTGAAGTTTTCTTTTTGGCGGGATATGCTGCACTGCAGTAGCTTTATTTTTGGAGTCATATAGTGTGGATCATTTTTCATTAGCATTTGCATTGGATGACATGAAATTGACATGATTCAACCTAATTTTACTGCTTCAGACTGCCTGTCTTTTAAATTGGAGAGTAATTGTGTGAAGATGGTTCAAAATAATGGAGTTTTTGGAGCATCAGGACCAGATAATTTCAGTTTGAAAGATGGCCTATGTTAATAATAATGTTCTTTGTCCCTCCCCCTATTGCAGTTTGGAAATTGGAGTTGGAGGTTACCCAGTTCGATGGGTTTTGATGAGTTGAATGGTGAGGCGGAGAGATTGAGAGGAATGATTGCAACATATGGGCGGTTGTGATGATTGGTTTGCATATCTGCAATGCAACTCTCAGTTACAAATGTTCATCTTGCATTTGGCTGGTGCAGCAAAGTCATCCCTCTTCAAAGCTCCCTATTTCTTCCAGACGACTCTACTTCTTTGATGCTAGGAATAGGAGGAATTGGCCCAAAACATGCTGCCGTGCAAGACCGTCTACTTCACACTCCTTGCTTGCCTGGAGGAAAAGGCAAACCAGGAGAAACAGATCATAGGTATGTGTAGCAGTAACACACGTGGTTATAGCTTATTATCCTCAATCAACTATCAGGCTCCATGTCTTCATTTTGGCAACTATGTATTATAATCATCGTATGGATTTCGGAACAGCACGAGCAAAAGGCTGCTACAGTTGTAATTTAAACTGGCTCTGCCGGTAGTATGATGCATAATAAAAGTACTGAGATATTGAATAAAAGATCAAATTCCATGGTTTGGTACACATGAGAGTCTACAGCCTTTCATTTTCATTTTCCTAATAGAATGCCTTTGCGTGGAAAACTTGCAAACTGTGAAGTGGTAGATTTTGGGGCTTTATTTGGTTTAGCTGTTTCAGGGATACGGTTCATCGTCTTAGAATGAGGTGCCTCCCTAGAGCCACCCAAGAGAAGAGACCTTGCAAAGGACAAGGAATTGGGAAAGTAAATTATTTATTCGAGCTTGAGTGAAATTTTAAAACTATGGTTGTGGTGAGATGTAATTGGGTCGAGAAATTAAGAGTAACTAGATTTTTAACTCCTTCGGATGTAAATCAATAAATTGATGAGTGAACGGATAAGAGTCGATCACAATTGCACCAATCGTGATGAGTGGTAATGGTTGATTGGCTGCCTGAAAGGGCAACAATCACTTGATTTTCTGAATTCAGAGCCCCCACAATTTGTGTTCTGCACAAGTTTGTCCCGAGTACTATAGATCAATTGAAGTTCGGCGTAAATTAGTTTAGAAAGAAAAAAAAAAATAAAAGTTGGCGGTCGATAAATCGGAGTCAGGTATAAACAAATTGAAGTCAGATGTAAATAAGTTGCAGTTGGTTTGTAAGTACTGTAAATAGGCAAATATTTTGGATCATAATGTAAATGATTATTTTACCCTCAAATTGCACCAAATTGAACTTGTGAGGCTCTCCTCCTCCTCTTCATTCCTTCTTTCACCTTGTCCCCTTTCCTCTACTCCTCTCCTCACTCTCACCTTCCACCGTTTCCCTCCCCTTGGGTGGTGAGCGGAGGGAGAGAGGTGAGAGTGGGGAGGGGGTGAGAGGAGAGGGGAGGAGGGAAGGGAGGGAGGAAGGAGGAGAGGAAGAGAGAGGAGAGAAAGAAAGAAGCAAAAAGGTAGTTGGCGGCACAATGGTAGGTTGAGATAGGTGATGAAGAAGAAGAATAGAAAGAATGGTATTTTTTTTTTGTGTTTATGAGTATTTTAAGGCGTGAATTTTAAAAATTTTGAAAAGTATTCTAAGATTACTGTAATAAAGTTGTTAAAAAATTAGACTTATAAGAGAAAAACTTGACAAAAAAAACTCTCGTTTGCCAATCAGGACCCTTGTCAGTTGAGCTGGGTGTTGGAGACTGTCAGAAAGATTCTGTCGTCGACCAATAGATTATTTCATACAGATTACGGGCCTCACTGGTGGGATTCATGTTGGACTCACTTTCATGGCATGCAACTTAGTGTTTAGTTCCGGTCCGCAATAAAAATTTTGCTACAAAATGAGCAAAAGGTCATATACTAAATTTTTTTTTTTTTTTGTACTTCAAAAGGTAGCAAAATGTACACACACATTCTTCATTCTTGAAAATATGATCTATGGGAATCAAAAAATCAAAATGTAATTTGAGTTTATCAAATTTACTCCCTCCGTTCCATTGAAAATATCATACTTTCCATTTTGGGATGTTTTAAAATATTTGTTCTGTTAAAAAAGTCAAAACACTTTTTAGTATCTTTTTTTAATATAACCCTTCTTTCTAATCATATGCATGTTATTATTTAAATTTAAATTTTGAATTTGTGAGGATAAAATTGAAAAGAGAAACACAAACATCACAATCAAGCCACTATTTTTAAAAAGTTGGATTTTTAAAACATGACTAAATAATTAGAACGGAGGTAGTAACTTGCTTGATTGCCATTGTGCTCAAAATTTCTTAGCTGCGGCCACGGACAATAGAGTGGGCTATGTCTCTTCTTCTTAACCACCCTCAAGAGCTGCAAAAGGCTAGAGCTGAGCTAGATGAAACCATTGGTCAAAACCTTTTAATAGAAGATCAAGATCTTCCGAAGCTGCATTACCTACAAAGCATCATTTATGAATCGCAAAGATTATATCCAGCTGGTCCACTCCTCTTTCCACGAGAATCATCAAGTGATTGCACCATTGGAAAACTACAAAATGCCCTCTAAAACTATTTGGGAGAGAACGACTCAATAGTTGGTACAGGCCTTAGTATGCCTAAAGTCTTGCCATTAGAGTAGGGATGTAATCAAATCGAATCGATCTCGAGTATGGCGGAGAGAACGACTTAATAGTTGGTACAAGTCTCAGTGTGCCTAAAGTCTTACCATTAGAATAGGGATGTAATCAAATCGAATCAAACTCGAGTATCGTCAAACTCGAGCTCGACTTGACAAGCAAAAAGGATGCTCGAACTTAAACTCGAGCTCGATCTCAAGCGAGTAGTATTATTGGAAATCGAGTTCGACTTCGATACATTGCGTACAAATCTCGAGCTCGACTCACATGGATTCGATCAATGAGAGCCTTATCGAGCTCGAGTTAGAAAATTTCATTTTCTTGACAATTTTTGAACGAAAAGATATTATTGCCCTTTAAAAAAATTTTATAACCATTCTTTTGAGTATAAGGGTAATTTTATAATAATAATATATTAAAGAATTAAAATTAAAAAACTCGATAAGACTCGACGAGCTTTCAAGCATTGTTTTTAGATACTCGAACTCGAGTTACTCGATTTATCGAGGCACTCGAACTCGTCAAGTTTTTGACCGAACTGCCCAGCCCTACATCAGAGGCAATCTACAGCCCTTGCCAAGCCATGATTAAAGTTCTTGCTGGGATATGATATCGCATTTGCTAAAATACAATCTGCAGGTCTCTTTGTTTATTTGACTAATACCACCCCGTCTATTAGCTTTATTGTACTGATTATAACTTACATTTTGTTACTTTGGAATAATTTTTAGCTTATCTATAAAAAAATTTTCTAAAATACAAGGTGCCTAGATTGAGTTTTCAACGGGCATCATAATTTGTGGCTTTGGATTCTCTACCCACTCAATTTCTGGGCCAATTTCTTTTCCACTCTTTTTAAGGACAACAAGTGTATAGTTGCAACACTATTTTAGTGTATGTACTTTAATATTTTACTAGACATATTATTAGATATGAGTAATTGATCTAATGGTTTAATTTTTTAAAAAATTTTGTGAGCTTTCTAGGCGTTTTGTAATGAAATTGTTAAAGAGGAGGCAAAATCAGTTAATTTTGTTATTAAATTGTGCAGGAGGAGGTGAAATAAGTTAACTCCGGTTGTTATGAAACTTTGTGGAGTCCGTTCGTCCCACCAAATTTGCTTTTAATTCATTCATTGCTATTCCATAGCACACAAAAACGACGTCTAGTGACTGGCATATATTTTACTTTGTTAGGTGTATTTTGCAAAATATGGTCCAAGTTTGGTAAATTGGTTTGACTTTAATTTCGAGTTTGGCTCATGTAAATTAACTTACAATCTCGACTCAAGTTGAACATAAATGAGCTTGATTTGAAATCAACTCTCTATTAAATCCCTGTGCGTTCCAACTCTATATAAGATGGAAAAGTGTAAAAGACAATGCACATAAACCTAGCTACACGAAGAAAAGCTCCTCTAACAAGAAAAAGAGAGGCATGGAACAAAATTTGTTGAGCACCATTTCCTTATTGTTCTTAAGCTTAATTCTTCCATTGCTCCTTTTACACAAAAAAAGGCAGAAAAAATCTCTGCCACCAAGCCCTCCTTCCTTGCCAATGATAGGCCATCTTCATTTGGTAAAACCACCACTGCACAGAACCTTGAAGCGCCTTTCTGATAAATATGGTCCAATATTGTCCCTAAGGTTTGGTAATCAACTTGCGGTTATAACATCTTCACCTGTTGTTGTCGAAGAATGCTTAACCAAAAATGGCATTATTTTCGCGAACAGGCCTTCTGGACTTGCTACGAAGTACCTCACCTACAACGGTACCACTATGACTTCTGCACCCTATGGTCCTCTCTGGAAAAGACTTCGAAGGATCTCTACCATGGAACTCTTCTCAGGAACTCGCCTTAACATGTTTTCGGCAAATCGACAGGAAGAAACCAAGTTACTAGTGAAAAATCTATACAAAAAATCATCCCAGAATTTTGCAAGAGTGGAGATACGATCCCAGATGTTGGAGATGACCATTAACAATATAATGACAATGTTTTTGGGAAAGCGGTATTATGGATATGAAGTGGAAGACAATAAGGAGGCTTTGCAATTTCGGGACATTGTTCGGGAAATGTTTGAGCTGGCGATTTTCTCTCCAGTGGATTATTTACCAATTCTGAGATGGTTTGGTTATCAGAATCTGGAGAATAGAATGATTGCATTTCAGAAAAAATCTGATGAGTTCTTGCAACGTCTGCTAGACAAACAGCGAACTTCTCCAACTGGGGATGGAAGGGGGACGATTATGGAAGTATTGCAGTCCACGCAAGAATTGGAACCTGAATTCTTTTCGGATGATATCATCAAAGGTTTTGTACTGGTACGTAGATTTAATACAGATTAGTGCTTAATGTCACTCCATCCACGTTCTAAAAAAGAAAGATTCAAACCCAAATTTGGAAATGATCACGAAAAATCACATTTACATAGGATTGTGATCACAGTCCTTTCTACCACTCAACAATCCTAAGTTTGAGCAGCCATATACTACTTTTATCCTTTTTTATCATGCACTCTTCAATGTTTGTATCACCTTTCACTTTAAAGTTTTAGTTTGCATAATATGCTGCTTGAAATTTTTTGTGTTTGAATACGCCCTGATGATGATATAGTGGTATCTTTTTTTATTTTTATTTTTTATTTTCTTGATAAGTGAGAGATTTTAAACCCATAACCTTTCACTTATAATTTCTCTTACCTTATCACGTAACTCAACCCTTCCCCTAATATAGTGATATTTGTCAAATGAAATAAAATAACAGAAGGGAGGAATATAATTTTGATCCCTAATGCTTGGGCTACATGTTAAACAGGTTCTTATTATTTAGATCAAACAAATGTGATTGTCAAAATTTTTTATTTTCTTCAAATTTAGGGCAATTAGTGGAAAACTACAATAGTTAACGGTTAAAATCAAATAGGTATAATTCTGATCCCTAATGCTTAAGAGTATAGATCTATATA